TTGGCTCCTTTTAAATCTATAGCAGTATCAAACATACCTGAAGGATCATCTCTTAATCGAGATATTGTTAATGGACTTGCTGGAAAAGTTTGTTTGATTTTATTATTGGTGCAAGGTTATTTATATAATTTGTTTTGTTTTCAGGCTGAAATATTAGATCTATTAAATTATTTTGGATATATTCGTCATAATAGAGATGAATATGTTTATCAATCACCAAAATCAGATCGTGAACGCGAACGTCGTGTTAATGGTGTTAGTGAATTTCGTAGGTTTTATGATGATCTTAAAAGTGCCAAAACTGGTTCTTTGAATAATTTTGAAGAATTTATTCATGTAAAAATATTTATTAGAATAGGAAATTTTTTAATTTTGTTTATTTTTTATTCTTTATATTTAGAATTCCAACAGACACTCTTATTCAGACAATAGTAGTGCATGTAAGCGTTTGTATAAAACCAATTTATTTTTTTGATGTCAAGATTATTAAATCTAAAGAGATATTCAAATACTCTCTCTCGATTGTCATATAAACGAAAAGCTTGACTTTACTAAGATTTTCTTCTCGATGGTAATAGTTAAGAAGAATCTGAAAAAAGTTTGAGTAACTAAAAGGGTTCTTTATCAGGATTTCTGAACCTAAAAACTGCTTTGATCAAAATATCTGGATAATCAAGATCCTCTACAATCAATTTTCTGGCGTCTATTTGGAGCTTTTTGAAAACGGTTTTATTTAATAGAGCAATATGAGACATCTGGACTCTCTTCATAATACTTCTTCATCGAATTGCATTCAATTTACAGAAAATCCAAATTTGTTTTTATGAGAAATTTCAATGATTCCACCATGTTTGATTCTTTGAAGCCTCCTATAAATTGAATACAGCTCAACGAAGAAAAATTATGAATTGAGCTGAAACTTTTGTTTTATGGCAACTTTGATTAAATCGGGATGTAGGTTTTTTTGTTTTGTTTGAAAAAAAATATTGTGTCAGTGAACAATCAAAAAATATCAACCTTTTTTCAAGCTGTTTTCGGATAAGTTTTGGAACAATAGTCGAGCGAAAACTTCAGGTTATTTTTAATCCTTGTGTCTCTTATATTACATAGAAAGAAGCATTCGGAGATTTTAAGTCTAGGATAACTTTTGCTCTATCTGTCGAGATCTATTTGCTTCGAAATTTTTCATCGAAATAGGAGGATGTCATTAAGAAAATTGATAAAGAAAAAATGATAGTTTTTGTTTTCAGCTGATGAAGACCAAAAACCTAGAAATTCAAGTTCCAGCACAAAAGTAAATATCTTGTTTAAATTTATATGAATTTCATATGAAATATCATTTTATTTTAGTTTGTACCAAAAACACTTCCTCGCCGACAAGAAGTTGAAACAGGCACTAAAGCAACAATTGAAACAGTTAATTTATTTAAGGTTGAAAATAAATTCTTTTTTAAAATCTTTTAATTGAATGAAAAATAGGTTTTATTTTGTTTTTAGAAAAGTCTAGTAACACAATATGATACACCTCCTACACTTGGCTTTATTCTTCGAAAATTAGCACTTGTATCATTTAAACAAAAGAATCCACATTCGATTGAAGTTGGTGATGATTATATTGATCAAACAATTGATCAAAAAATACGTTTATTAAAACAATATGATAATCAAATGAATATTCCTCGTACAGATGATGTTTATGTTGTATGTTTAATACGATCGAATTTTAATGAAAATGAAGCAATTGAAATGTTACATCATAATCGACCAAATTTAGTAAATTTTATTTCAACAAATCTGAGATTTTGTTTTTTGAAAAAAAAGTATTCTTTAGACACAACCTACTATACAACCTGTTTCAAACCAATCAACTAAGATATCAATAGCTAACTCGGTGGAACCTGTAAAAAAACATTGGAAATTATTGAGTACATATAAGAATGAAAACAATTTAGCTCCACAATTGTTATATGAAGACGATGTATGTATTTAGCTTTTGATAATCTTGATCTTTTTGATTAGTTTGTCTTTTATCATATATTTTGAAACAATAACAAATAAATCTATAGACTATTAATTAGAACAAGAGAAGATATTGAATTGAGATCTAGTAAGCTAGGACACGTCACTAACTACTATTTGTTTCGGATCACCAGTTCGATAGCATGCCGACTATGTTGGGACATACATTTGCTCTTGTGATTAGTTAGTGCATATACAGAATCAAGAACTCTGCATCGGACCGTCATTTTGTCCAGAACTACGGATAATCATAGTTGTAGGGAAGATATTGGATCACTGAATCTGTCGTTAGGTGGCACACTATACTACGAGGTAGCTGAAAAGTAGAGGGAGTATTCTTCCTCTTTCAAGTTCTAGTAAGAATAGATTTTTGTTTAATTCTAATAAATGTATAAAAAATTAACTATATGCGAGTGTTCTGTAATGTTATTTATATAAGACTGAATATTACTTGAAAGTTCTTATTTCTATAATCATTTTGTTTTTATTCAGCAATGGAGAAATGTTCAGCATCTCATACCAGCTATTCAAAAACTTCGACAAAAGAACAATGATACAGATACGGATGAAATTTTCTTATCGGTAGAATAAAAACACAAATTATTTATAAAAACTGTTTTCCAACTTGTCTTTTTAGAAAATGCATCGTTTACTCTATAGTGAATTATCGAATATAATTGGTCGACAAGTACCCGTCAAAATTGAAACACTAGCGTCAATTCTATGTGAATTATCAATGGAAGCTATTGAAAATCTTGACATAGCTGCCATAAAAAATATTTTACATTCACGTAATGATTTAGGATTCTCTGATAATTTTCGAACAAATGCAATTAATTCATTATCGATATCATGTCCAATATGTTTTACTTCTTTTCCACGAAGTCAAATGGAAACTATGTTTTTATGTGATCATAAATGTTGTCTAGAATGTCTTAAAGATTATTATCGAAATAATATAAATCAAATTCAAGATTCTAAATCATTAAACAAATTAACATGTTTTTCCGAAGAACATGAAATAACAGGTGATACGAAAATGAACTTTTTTATATATTTAGAAGCAAAAGTATGTTAAAGTAATTATATAGAGATATTGATACAAAAACAAATTTCCTTTTAATTAGCTCACTCAATGGTTTCATAATGAACCTGATATTCTTAAAATGTATCATGATAAAATATTTTATGCAACACGTGATAAACAAATTAAAAAGTGTGGTAATTCGACAGTAAGTTCATTGATTTAGTATTTTTTTATTTGATTATATTCTATTTGTTTTAGTGTATCAGCTGTTTTTCTATTGATGACAATGATAATATTGGTTGTGTTTATTGTCCTCATTGTGCATTTGCTCAATGTAGACAATGTTGTCGAAAAGTGTGTTATGAACATTGAATAATTATTTTCAAAATCAATAAATTTCTTTTTTCTCTAGTGGTGTCCTGAACATGCTGAAATGTCATGTAGTGAATATGAAGAATGGTTAGCAGACAATGATCCTGAAGATCCAAATGTACAAACTTTAAAATATTTAAGTAGAACTGCCATTGTATGTCCTAATTCGAATTGTCAATGTATTTATCAATAGTAAGTTGAATATCTAATAAAGAACAATTTATGTATATTGATTGTTTAATTTATAGTCAAGCAGGAGGTTGTGAACATTTTACTTGTAAACAATGTCAAACAGAATTCTGTCGAATGTGTTCAGCATTATTCTATTCATCCAAGAAAAATACAGTAAAAAGAAATTTATATATATAATTAATTATAGAAATATTTTAATATTTAGATATGTCCACAAGTTAATTGTACACCTAAGAGCGGCTTACATGCTCATTGTGCTCCGAATTGTTTTCGTGAAACTCGTATTGGTCAAACAAATATCATTATTAAATTACTCAATGTTTGTATTATTTTCTATTTTTATCATTCTTTATATTATATTGATCACTTTCTTTTTCTAGGATCATGATATTAATGTAATAGAAGAACTTGAACAGAATGAAGTGTCCACTAATAATATATGCCCAGTTGAAGACTGTGAAAGACCAGCATCACCTATCGCTGGACATCGATTTTGCGAGTATGAAATCTCGATGTATTTATCTTTTTCGATTGTTTAAGTTATATTTAATAGAATTTGTTATCAACAATTTTTGTGTTCACTTATTTGGCGTTATGAATTAGAACCATGGTAAGTTGATTAAAAATACAATATCTATAAAAATTATTTGTTTTTAAGGGAAATATATGAAGATAATAATCTTCAACAAATGCTTATCAAAGCATCCGTTACTATTCCAGCAAATGCAACAAGACAAAATTTAATTGAAGTATATACATATATATATATATATAAATTTGTAATTATGTTTTATTTATTATTTTCTTTTAGTTATCTCAACAAAATTTAAATCAATTATTAGGTAAACCAAAAAAAATAACAAAACCAAAATTTTCATAATAAGTGATCTACACAAAAATAAACAACAACACCTAATTCAATCAAATAATAAGTTTTTTTTAGTTTGTTTTTAATTATTTATTCATGAACTATGATAATGTATGTGAATATCCAATTATCATTGAAATATTTTTTCTTAGAATAAAATATTATGATACATTTGTGATTGTTTTATTTTATAAATTTTTAACACAATTCTACTCTAATTTTCTTTTCTATTGATATGAAAACGTTATGAAGAAGAAGAAAAAAACGATATATATTTTTATAATATGAAAATCTTGCAAAAATGATTTTCTTCAAATTTGATTTCTATGTTAAAACTAAGTAATGATTAAAATTTTATATGAGATTCCCTACCAAATACGATATGTATTAATATTCCAAAAACAAAGAAAGAATTTTATTTCTAAAATTCCATTTTAATAGTTCTTTACAATGATTATTAATGTTGTTATTTCTCTTTTCCGATATTTATTTTGTTTTATAAGAAAAAGAAAACCTCAACAAATGGCTACTGGATATAGTGATCGTACAAATAGACGCATTGGTTTTTCGGCGTTCGTTGTTCAAAATAGGGTAAGTTTTATTTATGACAATAACTTTGCAAAGGAAGAAGAAGAAGCAGAAGAAACTAAGGAAAACAAGAGAGCATAAGAACTCTCAGACGAGAAGATATGTATGTATATACAATGAGTGCGAAAATTATTCAACAATATTTATTTTCAATTTTTTTTTCATCGCCGTAAGCGCTAGGAAGATTCAAATAGAGAAAATCGTTTACAAAAGAAAATAAAAATCATTATCAAGTTCTCAAAGACAAGGACTCCGGAAAACCAAAAGGCTAGTTTTGTCAGCCCCTAGAATAGATAAATATAATTTTGTTCAGACTACATAGAACGATAGAGTAAACAATTGTTTACAACATGAGACATCTTCAAGTTCTCTGTGACGTCTTTTTAGCTGAGATATAACAATCTTACGGAAGCGCCTAAAGTCGGTTTTTTTCAATTTTCTATGGAAAAACCATTTTTTGATCTCCAATCAAGTTGCTGCATCTCAGCTAGAAAACGTCGTAGAGAACTCGTCGATATTTCATTTTGTAGAGGATGATTTACTCTATCATTCTATGTAGCCTGAACGAAATTATATTTACCTATTCTAGGTGCTGAAAAAACTAGCCTTTTAGTTCTCTGGAGTACCTATTTTTGGAAGTCTGATAATAATTTTTATTTCCTTAAATTTCTTTTGGAAATAACTTTCTCTATTCTAATCACTATTTGGATTCTTCTTACCACTTACGGCAGCGGGAAAAAATTGGAAACAGACCTTGTTGAATCATTTTGGTGCCCGCAATATAAATAGGATGAACAACAATAAGGACAATCACTACCATATATGGCAGGAAAGAACCAATCCATATATGCATTAGATATACACATCATATTTGGAATTGGTAGAGTTTTTTACGACTGAACTGGACCGGCGAAAAACTGATCCGTTTTATATATCAATTACCGAGCTAGTTCTTTCGAGAAAAAGACTACTGTTCTACGAAGACATGCAATGTGAAGCACATATAACTTTCAGAATTTCTAATAGAAACAACTTCTATTTTACTCTGACACATTCCATATACACTGATATAGGAACGAAGAAAGAACTCTTTCAAAACTTTTAATCTAGTAACTTACATCAACTGATATCAAACAACATCTAGCTTTTGTTTTGTCTGGCTTTCTCCGATAATAATAGGATATCTTGCCAGAAATTGATAAGTTTGATGTTTTCTTCAGATTTTCCCTTCCGAAGAAATGATCTAAAACTGCAGGAGAGAGAACATCTATTTTTGGAAGTATACACACATTGTATGTGGTACAATGAGTACAAACTTCGAGAGATCTGATTCCATCTTTCCGAGAGGCGCTGCTCCTTTAGTCTTCACGTTAAATAAAATACTGCACAACTGAAAGACTTCTCAAGTCGTATTAAACTAATACTGTCGATAGGAAGACAAAGCGAGCTAGAATGTTCGATTCTTATGCTAAACATCATATTTGCAGACTTCTTAACACGTAGATATTTTCATAGTTACATGAGACTAGTAGTCAGCATAACATTTACAGCAGAAAGAAATCCTTTCTAATATTTTGTAATGAAAGCATTAGCCTGACCACTACGAACTCTTAACAGTTTCTCACAGTCGGTTAAAACCAGTTCAGAAAAATGATATTGAAATTTTGAGGCGAACAATCTTTCGTTTAGATCAAATTCAGTTTCTGATGATTTGCTAATTATTCATGACTATAACAAAACTCATCCAGCGCGATAGAAGATTTTCATTGTATGATGAGATAGCGTGAACTCAATATGTATAGCTGGAACTTTGATAACTACTAGAAATTCGTTAATCAAAAGCTTTCAGGCAAACTAACTTTAATGCTCTAAAAATTGATAAAAAATCCGGCTGATCCGATTTCAAGTATGATACACGTACTAGAGAACAGAGAAAAAACCAATGTTTGATATATTATGGTTGGCAGAAAAAGAGACAATATGTGATATATTCATACATATTGGAAAAACTTTGAACAGATAACATCTGTGAACATTGTTTGTTGTCAAGTTCAAGAAGTTCTTATCGAGTAATTGTTAAGAAAAATATTTACATATGAATGTAAAACAGCAATGTAATTTAAAGAAGTAAAGCTTAGAATTTAATATTTTCCTCATTATTCTTTTCTTTATGATTCATATAGTCTAATAAAAATTCTTCATAGGATGATCAGCATTCGACTAATCCTGATGATATGACACTTAAAATAGTCCGCGAACTTAAGGTAAAGTTTGACTGTACAAACTATCTTATTGTTAATGTAATAAATTTTATTAATCTAGCGTATTGTTCAAAATAAAATCAACCAAGGTGACACGATAACTCAACCAATTTTTGAGTTAGAAGTTGCCAAGATCAAACGTGACTATGATCCTTATCAATGTGATATTGAACGATTGAAAGCGCAACTTCCACGTGATATTAAAAATTGTCCCGATTCTATTTTACGTGTATCAATGGCCTATGGAAATGATCCACAACAAATAGAATCGGTAATAAAATCGAAAATGAAAATCATAGATTCAAACGATAATATTAATGCTGGTTTACTCGATAATATTATTGAACCGTTAAAACTGCTTAAAAAAGATATGGAAAGAAATCCAATAAGAAACATATTCAATGCCGTTCATAACATAAATGACCATAATACCGATGTAAGTTTTTTCTTCGTAAATAATCTTTTATAAAAGATTAGATTTAAGATGAATTTATTCTTTAGAGCTTTACTTTTGTAGTACGATTATATTTATTGATTATTTTATTTATATTTTTTCCTTTTTCGAATATAACAAATTTAAATATTTTGTTTCTAGCGTGTCGATCGTTTATTTCTTAGTGAAGTTCATCATTTCACTCCTAGCTTACGAGACTATAAATTTGACAATGCTCATAAAGCAGTACAAGCTATTCGTAATACAACATATGAATCAAACAAACCAGAGGATCTTCTTGCTATTGTCAAAACAGTTCAAGAAACCGACGACATTCGTGATCTTGTAAACAGTATGGCAAGATCATCAATAAAACAAGTAAGTTGTAAATAATTTCAAATTCTCAGGTCAAAGAATTAGACGGTAAGATGTTACAAATATAGTAACAAGGGAAGTCTCCCAACTGATTAATCGTTTTTTTTTTAGTCGAGGCTATTTGCATCATGTAGACTCTAATGAGCTATGAATATCTTGAAAAGAGTTCAGGTCTTTAGCTTATTGCTGTGGAGATACTGTGGCAATACAATTATTTTTCACTGGATGTCATAGTTCTTCTCAGGTACACCATGAATACTTATTTTCGAATTTCGATTTCAAACTTTGCACAGAGACCAGTCTTCAAGAGGATAATTTATCGTGAACTTTTTGAGTCTGTTGATTGATTTCTATCCTGAAATAAGAACATCGAATCTATCGATGTAGATAAGCAATGTAAAAGACACGAATTTACTATAGTTATATCTCAGGATAGAAACAATGATAATATCTGAAATTTTCACAATAATTTATTCTCATTAAGATTTGTCTCTATGCAAACATAGCTCAGAAAATCGGATAGTAAAATCGGTGATACATTCTAGTACATTCATATCAGATCTTACTTCAAGATCGTGCATTATCATGCAAGAAATCGTGATCTTAGAAATCTTATACATCACACCGTACAATTAGCTATGTATAAGATCGGACAATATGATCTTGTATGGTCATAGAAGATCGTACTGTTGAATTTCATTATATATTCTAACTCTGTTAAAATAATTCACAACTCTTTAGAGCTCTGTTCAATAACAGTGAAAGAAGCGCCCAGTTCAAGTTTAATACATAATGAGTATGCATAGATAGTCATTATTGAAGATCATGGTACATAACTCAATGTAGGCATACACTTACGCCTATACCGTTAAACATATGCTCCAATGGCTGTCTCCTTAGATCTATATTAGTACACCTACTTTCTTTTATTCATATTCTTATCATTAGAACTTTTCTCACCACTTTTAAAACGGTTTCCATTCTGCTTTCGCCAGCATCGTTGTATTTATATTTTCATTTGGACGTCTTTTCTCACTATTATTTACCTTCGATTATTTTATTGTATTAGGTTTTACCGTTGCAGTATCATGTTGTCCTTTCAATGTGTGATTATGTATTCATATCTCTTTATTGAATATATCGTTTTTTTCTCTTTGTGGATTGATATATTTGTGTGTAACGGAGACAAATATATTTGTGCTGTTATAATAAAAACAACTGATCGTAGGCTGACGAAATTGCGATTCTAAAAGAAGTCGAGTCGAATTGATAGACACGCATTTTCAGTTGTACTTTCACATTTGATATTGTAAGGTCGTGTAAGATTCGTATTGTGAGATCTGATATGTTTCATGGATAACAGAATTTATCTAATTTTAAAAGATCAGATTGATGTCATTATAGCTGTTCTTGGAAGTTTCGTATCTCGAGATTCTTGTAAAACTTCCCAGGTCAACCAATTTGATGGTAATATCTTATAAGATTGTACCTCCGATCTTGTCTGATTTTACAAGATCAGATGGAAATAGTACAAAAACTTGTAGTGTCTGGAAAAGTTACATCAAGTCATATTGAAGGACGTGTCCAAGATCTTGCTGCCTTGTAAGATATTACTATCAGATTCTAGGAAAACTTATGTGTCGGTGAGATTTTTCAAGAATCTTATAGTATAATTTAGTGTGCGAATTCTGAGACTACAAGTTTTAATACAGTTATCTGATCTTACGAAAGAACATATTCAATTGTCGAATGTCGTTCGACTTCGTATTAAGGCTACGAGTAAGTCTTTGTAAAACTAAGAAAGACTTAAAACAATTCGCATTCATGGCCGACTATTGAAGAGTTATGGTAGTGTTTTAATGGAATTTTTATTGAGGCCAAGACATTTTCGAAAAATCCAAAACATAGAGTTTCGAGCTGATATGATGTCTAAAGGTACGTTTGATAGTCATTAGATAGTTTTGAAAATTCTAACGAAAACGAACATGTTTTTCTCGAGATATTCAATATCAAAAAACACAGCAGTTTACCATAGGAGGCCACAGTAATTGAGTCTACTTGGAAACTGAATATCTCAGGAAAGACATGTTCATTTTCATTGAAATTTTCAGGACAATCCAATCACTACAAAAATACCTATAGACATCATTTCAGCTCGAAACTTTTTGTTTTGGACTTTTTCGAAAATGCATTGCTCTCAATAAAAACTTCATTGAAAACACCATAACTCTTCAATAATAGGGTATGGGTGCGAATCGTTTTAAGCCTCTCTTAGTCTTTCTAAGGTCTACTCATAGCCGTAATGCAAAGTTGAACAGAATCCAGCAGTTGAATATATTCCCTCATTAGAAAATCTTATCTCTAATTTTTTTGACCTAAGTTATCAACAAATACTTTTAGAATGAATCAACAAGAACAACAACAACAACAACAACAACATCACGATTCTCTGATGATGACCATCATTCAAATGTCAATACCAGAATGAATGATCGAAATCGTTTTAATGAGGATCGAAATTCACCGCATTCTTACAGTCCTGTACCTGATCCTCAACAAAATTCTCTTCAGTACCCAAGTAGAATGAATTATATGTTTATTATTCAATAATATCAAACACAACATATTATTCTTATCATTTAGATCGTCAATTGGACAGACTTGCCGATCAAGCAAAAGATAGATCAAATGATAGTAAGTGTAAAACCAAAAAGATTAAATTTATCATTAGCAATGTTTTTGTATATTTATTATTTAGATTCTGCACGTCGTGACAGTGGAAAAAAATAACTATTAATTTTATTTTAATAAAAAGATGTCTTTTTGTTTTTAATTAAATTTTTAAATAAGTTCAAATCCTAATATTAGTCACGATGTGATGGATTAAAGAATATCACAGCTACATGAATAAATATAAAAGAAGTTAATATCCATAAATGATGCATAGAATACGAACAAAAAACTTGACTAATTATTGCTAATAAAATTAAAATACTACGATTATATTTTAAAAAATTTAATTTTATAGTTTGAATGGATTGTATTTGTAATTGTGGAAATATAAATCGAAGATAAAATGTTAATATACAACAAATAGCTGATAAAAATGATGGATCCGACATCATCATATATAATGGATATAAACCTTGAATTATAAGACTTCTTATATGAATAATAAAACCAGTTAAATTAAGAAAAACAAGAAGACCATGAAATAAAAGTATTGTTGTTAAAATTTCTCTTAAACGTCCATTGATTGTTCCACGCCAAATTATATGTAATACAGCTATCATAAATAATGTTACATGACCTTGTGAACCACTAAACATTATTGTTGAAAATAAAGGCATTAATAGAAAAACCAATTGAATTAAACGAGTATATCCTAATTGTAAATTTAATTCATTATTTGCACGAATTAATATTGGATATAATAAAATACGAATAAAATCAAATATTAAATAATCAATTATAAATGAAATTAAAGCCCATAGACTAAGTGCAAGAAAATAAATAATTAATGGTAAAAAGAAAAAATAATAACCATTTGAATGAATATTCACAACAAAATTTAATGATGGAAATAAATGAATTATTATTTTATACAATATTGTTATTAATATAGCTATTGGTATATGTATTTGCCATGCAAGCATTGTTTGATATGTACGAAGTCTAATATCATTTACTTGAAGTGAATACGATATACATAGAACAGTAAATAGAAATGTTGGTAATAAATATATATAATAACGTATTAATTGAGATAATATATCAAGAAATGAATAAGTTATTTGAAGATTATATGATAACTTTGAATCAAGAAAAAGTTCAAGTGAAGGATATTCATCAATAGTTGATGGAGATGGTCGATGAAGTTTTAAACGCATTTGACGATGAAGAGATTTTGGAAGAATTGTTGATGGAGATGAAGGATTACGTAATGTAATTAAATTATATAGATCTTCATTTGACCATGGAACATGAAAATGAATTAATGGCATTTGTTGATTATTTGAGGATAAATAAACATTATAAACTTGCCAAAGATGAATAAGTGTTGGAAAGACAAGTTTTACGTAACCAGTTTTATTGAAAGATAATGTTTGTGAATCAAATCTTTTAACAAGAAAAAAAAAAGAACTAGAATTGGAAATAATTTATTGATAAACGAAATTGTCAAAAGAATATCATGAACTGTTTAATTGTTATTTCATTTTGGATTTTCAATATCTCAAAGGAATGAAGTCGAATATATTTCAGTCAAATTTTCCTATACTTCTTGAAAGTTACAATAGACTCAAAGCTTCTTTTTGACAATTTTATAACTGAAATACAGAGCATGTGGATATACAAAAGATCTTCATTCACATTCACACATCCGCGACGAATAGTCCGATCACCACTGACATTGTTTAATGTCAAACGAGTTAATGTACTACTTCATACTTTTCATATACAGTACTGTATAAAAATATACGAACAACGTATTTTTGAATTTTTTTCTACGATATCAATCATTTAACTCTAATCCAAGTAGTGATTTGAATAACGGATGAAGTCCTCCATCAAATCCATTACATACCGAAATTCCATAAATGGATTATGAGAGGAAGGTTTCGGAAAAATCAAAAACGATAATTTTTAGGCACAGGAGACTTTAAGAAAATTAATTTTGAAGAGTACTGTATTAAAGAGCGTAAAATTCTGAGTAAAATGAGGGATTGTCGCATTTCTTACGACCTTATCTTACAAAATTATAAGCATCACAAAAAAAAAAAAACATGTGTTATTTAGTAATGCTTTGATAAATTTCGCTTTGCGATGCTTATAACTTTTTAAGAAAAGGTCGTAGGAAATGTAGCAACTCCTCATTTTACTCAGGGTTTTGTGCTCTTTAATATAGTACTTTTTAAAACTAATTTTCATAAAGTCTTTTAGAATCTTAAAACTACCGCTTTTAGTTTTTCAGAAACCTTCCTCTCATAATCCATCTATGGAATTTCGGTATGAAATGCATTTGATAGAGAACTTCATTCGTTATTCAAATCACTACTTGTATTTGAGTTAAACGATTGATATCAGAGAAAAAAATTCAAAAATATGGTGTTCGCATATTTTTGTACGGTACTATAGACTTCAAGGCATCTTCTTAATCATGTCAAGCATTGTTACTTATGCACTTGAATCTTTTTTTTACTTATAAAATAACAATCTCATTAGTTTTACGTATATGAAAGATAGGGATTTCTTTTTTTTTAGACTTTTTCTACTCAAAAGAAAAAAATAGATGTGCACATATGAAATGTTTTCATGACAATTAGACTTCGTTTAAATCAATGTGACTTACGTTGAAAGTTCAACTATTTGTTCATTATTTTCGATTTGATATATATCAACTTGGGCTTTTTGATTTTCAAGTCGAATAAGAATTGAATCATATTGTTTTAGATTATCATCTAAATTTTTAACATCAAATTGAATCATTTTACGATTACTATAGGTTGGTGGAATAGGTATAAGAGTATTAGTTATATCTGTCATAATATCATGATTTTTTAAATAAATTTGAGTATGTGTTAAATGAATAATAATTCGATGAAATTTTGAATCTTTCAATGGAATTAAATAATCATTTTGTTCTTTGCTACGAATTGATACACTTGATTCTGTAATTATAGTAGGTTCCTTTGTTAAATTTAATGTTGTATTTAATCCATGATTAAAATCAACAGATGGAGAAAAATATCGTTTAAGAATCTAAAAAAAAAATATAAAGAAACATTTAAATATCATTATAAATTTTTCAAAATAAAAACAACCTGCATAATTGCTTGAGGATTTTGTTTTTTCTCTTGAATGATTTCAAGTAATGCACGTGTTGTTGTTAATACTAATTGTCTACACCAAACAATACAACGATGATCAGTTGATGTCCATACATGTGGTACAGCACTTGTTAATACATCAATCGAGCGACTTTCATCAGTGAGACCATTTAATGAACATAGATCACTTCGTACAAGATGATCTCTATAAAAAAAAATCATTTATTAGTATTAATTGGAAAGTATGTTAAATCTTAAAAACAATAGTTTATTGCAACTCGAATATTTATATATGTAAATTATTTGAACTGTTTGCATACTTCACAGATATTTACCATGCCTAAAAAACGAAGTGTTTCGTCAAGTTCTTCTTCATATTTATTGCTCTATAATATTTCTTGGAAAATAGTACTTTATTTCTGAACAATAGTATAAAGTTGAAAATATCACGAAAGAATATTTAATTAAACAAGATGTAACCGGACATGTATAAATATACTTATAGGGTGTTCGTTTTCGTCTTAACGTATTTTGTAATTGAATTTGCACAAATTTGAATGTTATGCTCGTCACAATGAAACTGAATAAATTTTGAGTTAGGTCGATTGGTTATCAGGATAATCTTTAATCAACATTGATTACAATTTAATTTATAAATTTAAGAAATGAGATAATAAAACAAACGGTATCTCAGAAAGAATGAGCCTGTCAACGAATAAGTCTCTTATCTTACTTTTTCAGCGCTTGATGTAAATTCTTTTTTAAAACTTTCTAGAGATAAAATTTAACAACCGGTATAATTAAAGCGCGATCGCCCGGCGGACAAATAAGAAGAGAGGCGAAGGCGGAACGGCCACCTAAAAATGAGTCATATTTTTCGTTAGGACGCATACGGGTGGTGTACATCTCTGGTATATTTCACTAATGAGACATAACTTGAGAGTGTAGGTTAGATATATTGGCTGACTTACCTATTTTGATTCAACCCACTCGAGCCATACGCGGATTGAATATCTGACGGGTCACGAGCTAGAAGTTTTTGTCATAATTTGCTGGTCAGGTTATATTTTCACGTGTATTTGCAGGTTCAACCCATTTACAAATTTTGCTTTTCATTCTTTCGTTCTGCATATAGTTATGTTCACTATTCATGCCTTTTTTCGTTCCTCCATTGATTTAGTTCCTTTTACTATTTCTTTCGTTCTTCACCACTTAGATTCTTTCTATAATTTGTTCTCATTACATCTTTGTTCCAGTTATTTGCGTACTTGTTTTAAAGTATATACGCATATACATGTACTTGGAGTGTGGCTCTTCTCTTAGCCATGCTAAACAACAAACCCATACCCATACAAAGCCAAGCTTTAGTTCGTTCAATGAAAAACTTAGGAATGAAAGATATGTAATCTAATTATTCTTCGACTTTTTTTACACATTTATCGTCCTTATTATCCAAGTTGAAGCTGTATTTGCTATATTAATATTTTATATATGAATATATATTAGTTTCACAAATAATTACAAACCGAAGGTATATGTAAAAAGAACTAACAAATTTGTAACTAAAGAGATTACTAATAAAATCTGTATTAACCCGCGAATTAGCCTGTAAAGGCTAAATGACTCTTCAACCTGTGAAGCAGACTGAGTGCAAACTCAAACAGTATACAATTGCCCAATAATCATATCTCTAGAATAACGTATCAAAATAGCACAAGTCACTGATATACATAAACATTCACATTGACGAAAAATTTCGAGTTATAATAATCTATTGCTGCTAAGTTTTAAAACAATATTCGAGAATGTTACGTTTAACACTAACTGATTATTTAAAAATTTTTTTAAAATTTACCTGTCACCACCAGCTAATGATAAAAGAACAAGATGTTTAAGTGAATTATTCCATTCATTTTTCCAATATTCATTAACACGAGAATAAAAATCAATAACATAACTATC